GAGGAGGAGGAGGAGGAGGAGGAGGAGGAGGATGTTGAGGACGAGGAGGAGGAGGAGGAAGAGGAGGAGGAGGAGGAGGAGGACGAAGGAGAGGAGGAGAAAGAGGAGGAGGAGGAGGTGGTGGAGGCGAGTGAAGTGGGAGGACGACCTCACCTGGACGACGCCGGGTACAATGACTAGCGGCAGTGGCGACAACGTTGGCGATGGCTCCAGCGGCAGCGGCGGAAGTGGCGGGGGAGATGGCTCCAGCGGCAGCAGTGGCAGCGGTTAGCGACGAAGGCTAGGAGGGCAGTCCGTGGCGAACGCACGTTGTGGAATGGCAGCGGCGACGTGTGAACATGGGCACAGATACCGGCCCAAAAAAAAAAAAAAAAGGACAAAGGGCCTCGCTGCACTACTCTTGAAATGCACAAAAGATAAAAATCATGGCCGTGTATCTTTCCATGTTCTAGCGGAAGATTCACTCTCGTACAGTATACATTTCCATAGTATTGCAGCGAGGCCCAAAACCACGGGAGAGTCAGGGTTTGAGTTTGTAACAGGGTGTGGGGAAAATCTCGCTTCCACAAGGTTGGGAAGTGGGTCCGCTGAGGTCTCGTGGGGGGGTGTTGTATTTGGGGGATTGGCCGAAGTGCAATTACAAACTGTTTTCGTGACTGTGCCGAAGTTACCCCCCAAAACAACCACTGGCCGCGCCTTTGTTTTCACTGTCGTTTCTTGTGCACCACGCCAACTGTTGATACGGGGCCCTCGATCCACCGGGCTAGCGCAGTTAGTGAGGCAGGCAAGTGGATTTCAGGAGGTCTCGGGTTCAATCCCCATTGGCCTCACGCACCATCCTCGCTGAAGCCTGGCGCCCGCCCCGTTGAGATATGCTGTTGGTCCCCCCAACTGCCACTAACAAGAGACTGCTGATGTTCAAAGGGGGAGGCGACCGGAGAGGAGGCACAGTGACATGGGGACTGGGCAGTTCAGTTTTGATTGAAGTGGCTGACCCGTGCCTTGTGTCGCCCGCCTGCTGCTGGGTTCCCCGTAATAATGTAATGACAAAATAAAAAATTGATTTCAAGCCGCCCTGTCCAGATTCATGAGGCAATTGCATTGGTTGTACGACAACCAAAATACCCATCTTTTAATAACATATATATCTATACGGGGCCCCAGCAGCGCACAAACCCCACGCAAATTCAAATCGCGGCGGTCTGCCCGGCGGGCAAGATTTCGTCCAAAGTATGCTGAAGTTCACAATGTTCAACGACACTCGACAACCACGACAAAACGATCAAGTACATCCCAGGTAGTCGAAATTGGAACACCGACAAAAAACACTGCGATATAAAAATAATTCCCTTAGTGGGGGCCAAAGAACACCACAACATAACGCATTGTCGCAGTACTGGCGCGCAGTACGAAACCATGTTGGAAACGTGTTGGTTCATGTTGGAAGCCTGTACGAAACCATGTTGGAGTCGGTCACTAAAAGTTGAAAACCTGTTGGAGAGCATGTTCGACCTGTTGAAAAAAAATTGATCATGTTGATAACTAGTTAAACACAACAGAAGACCCTCATTCAACAATTGGTCACAGCCTTTGCGGCGTGCATAAGTTCGACAGCGCTACGAAAATAAGTTGGAAGTCAGCGACAATTTTTCTGTTGTTGCTCCAACGTCTCTACTGTCACAGTGTCATGTTTCATTTTGCTGGAGGCGGCAAACTGGAAACTGTCCAACGGATCTTCATCATAGTCTTCGCTCTGTTTTGTCAGATCGACATCCGCACTGCGATTCCTTTTTGAAGCCTCTGCAACTGCTGCTCGTGTCTGGATCACCTCTTCCACTCTATTCGTCGTGTTTGACTCACTTTGACCATCATTTTCATCTTGCATACCCCTTCTCGTAATTCGACGCGGGACAATAAGTGGTGCAGAAGCCTTGCGTGGTGTACTCTGAGTCTTCTTTCTGCTCCATGCAAGTTGTGACATTTTTTTCTGAAAACAAAGGGCGAACCAGTCAAATACACAACCTTATGACAGCGTTATAATGTAATCTCATGAATTGTCTGACATACGTATGCATATCTATGTGTGCGTATGTGTGAGAGAAAGTGAGCACGAGTAGAAAGAAATAACGTGGTTTCAACAAATATCACTGACATAATGTACCAAATGTTCTAAAAGAACAACATGTCACCCAAAAGTTCTTTCTGTATTTAAAGTTTTATTTGTGAACAATGAAAATAGTGGTCGTAAGTGGAAAAATGTGAAAATATATGTATGTGTAAGTTAGAAGAACTATTCATTCACATCACTCTCTGAGAAAGAACATGTTTTTCTCATACTGAACGTGTTGATAGCAAATGAGAACGATATAACCTATTTCAGAAAGACGGACATGACGTTCGTGAACCTGTTCATGTTGTTATTGTCTTGTGGTTAAGGCCACCAGCCGCTCCGCGAGGGTCAGCATGTTTCCCTTTACAGAGAGAGAGAGAGGAAAAAAAAAAAAAAAAAAAAAAAAAAAAAAAAAAAAAAAAAAAAAATATCCTTTTTTTGTTTTGTTTTTTGTAACTTCAGTCTCGGGAGGCCCGCTTAATGGATGTATCTGTCCATTACCACTGCAATATTTAGTCAAAAACAAAAAAAAAAAAAAAAAAAAAAAAAAAAAAAAAAAAAAAAAGATGAGACAGGGCACTCGGCATACAACAGTTAGCATAAGTGTCGTTGTTTGAGGAAAATAAGAAGAGGACCTGGTGTGTCTTTGTATGCATGTTTGTGAACGCTAACAAAAAAAAGAAGACCATGAGGAATATCATATTCTCTCTCTTCTACAAATTATACCTTCACGCATACGATGAGACTTTGAAATCCCTCACAGCGTGTATTTATTAACGTAGAATTTGTCTTCCTTTTACACAACAAAGCGTCATGTTCCCCATTGGGGCTTCTTGAAATATGGAACTATGTGTGCAGTATCGATTATAGTATCAGTAGAAATCACGTTGCTGAGCTGTTGGTCATTCACTTTCTCCCACTTGACAACCTTGCATGATGTAGTGGCACAGTGCTCGTTCTTGAGTTCTTTGTACCACTGAACGTATGCACACTCAAATGTTAACACCTCTTCACCTCACCGACCTTGGACGAGGAAAAACATACCCACTGATGTGTATCATACCTCACCTTCCAATGCTCTGACAGAGACATCGCTGTGAAGAGGCCGACCGTGAAACCGTGGTGAAACTCTCGCTATTTGTACTATTGCTCCTCTGCTACTTCCATCGTCAGTGCATGCAATTGCAAGTTGCGCTCTTGTTTTGATCACTGTCTCATCCTTTGGGGGATCGCAACCATTTCCGTTCATAAATACTGATAATGCGGTAACGAAATTATGCCGATAAGAAATGTCTTCGAGAGTCACTGCATCATGAATAGTCCTGCCTTTGGTTGCGTTTGTTGATACATCCGGTAATGAAAACCATTGTAAACGCAGTGTAGCTTTGTTTCTCGCAGACAAGGTGTTTGTTCCACTTGTCTCAGCATTGCTGACAGCCGACCAGTTCTCGGTTTCCCAGATCTTCTGTTGACGCAGAATTTCAGTTTCATCTTGCAAAGTAATGGATCGACGAACATGGTCTACCATCTGCGTCGTTGCCTGTCTGCGATTTGATGATCGATATGGATCTTTGCAAAACGTTATATAATGATGCTCCCATACATCGGCAACAAATGTGTCTGCGAGCCCTAACCGCTCGATCATGCCGTGAACTTGTTGAGATGGTGCATCTTCGGTAATTTTCATTGCGATGTTTGTTATCAACCCATATAAGTTTTCACATAATACATGAAATCAACTAACAATTCGTCCGAGTAATCGAGAGAAGCTACTGTGTGCGACGTCCTTCAGAAAAGAGCCATATAAAAGTTCATAAGCTTGTAGAAACACTTTGTCAACCTCTTCCCTGCTCTACCCTTTACTACATTGTGAACTACAAACATGATCACGGTCATCAACGAGCGATTCTGCTTCGCCTCGAATCTTCCATCTCTTAAAAAGAAGTCACTACCTGTACGTACGGGCAATGCAAGTCCTGGATATGTCTTTACACATTGTTCGCTTATGCACTGGACTCTTGCATCTAGTTCTGCTATAATTTTCGTGTAATGAGTTGTGGGAAGTTTATTTATTGCAGCCTCACGAAATGCATCTATCCTATGTAAAAATATTTCGTGCTCTATTGTGTGCGTCTTGCCATGCGTTTAACCCTGCTTGTCGACCTGTCCAAGCTAGACACTCTTGACCGGTGCGAAAAAGTAGCGAGCGAGGATCCAATTCTGGATTGTGGACTGTCGCAAATAATGCATCCATATCTGTGAGAGATAATCTTACTCCCTCTCTGGCCGATAACATCATCGCCGCTAATTTTCGTGCAGAGTCAAAATGTATAACATTGTGATTATCATTTGATATTCTGTTGTCGAAAATCATCATCACCAACATTTACCTTGTGTGGTTCACTTCATGTCCTCGCGTGGACGGTTTGTTGAATGTATGTTGGATTTGGGTCATCGTCTCTCTCTTCCCCTGTCGATATCATGTTCTCATCACTGTTCGATTTGGGTTATCGTCTCTTTCTTCCCCTGTCGGTACCATGTTCTCATCACCGTCAGATGATGACTCAAGGTCAATAACACTTGCAGGGCATCCTCGTGATCGATGTGAGTTCATAACTTGCGTACTTCGAAATGCACGGCCGCACTCACATGTTATATATCTGTTTGCTGTCATCATGAACTTGAATTCGTCGTATTGCACTTTCTTTGTTACATATTTCGTGTGACAGTCCTCGTAATATATGAATGCACAAGATCCACCTTTTCATATCAGTTTATACATTTTTAGGATGACAACATTGCTCAACTTTTTTTTTTTTTCCTCAATTCACAAAGATACGATTTCATTTGTTTAATTAAGACAATATTACATCTTTTTGTTTTTTACTTTTACATATAATTCTAGTTTGGACTGAGCTAGCATGTACTTCAAAGTCTTCAAATATGTATAGATTATTATTTTTTTCGTTTATAAAATGAAATAAAATAAATGTATCTCGTGCAATGTTCCCCAGTTTTTTTTAACTCTCCCTCCCCCTCTCTCTCCATCTCTTTCAAGTATTTTTCTCTAGTATCTCTTCCCCCCCCCC